TGCAGTTGTTTTCTGTGAAGGCTATTTAGCACTTCTGACTTCTCCCTTTTGTAGAATAACCCTCTTCCTCTGCTGCTTCAAGGCAACTGGTCCCGTGATTTGTAGATTTTTAGTACTCATTCTCCATAAATTCACTTTGTATATGTTCACATATGCAATAAATTATAAGATGTAAACAGAATAAAAAGTCCTGAGCGAAGGTAGCTTTTTTAGGAAGTTATAGATCAGGACCTTCAGGCTACAAAAGAGTTACTTTGCCTTTTTGAGAGCAACCATTAGTTCAAAGGGTTATTTAATCATTTGGGCTCTAAAATACCTTAGAATTATGCCCTGGCCCATCCAATATAATAAAAGCCCAATATGCTAAGTGTCCAGTCGTCTGGTCATCCAACCAATCAAAGTATAATATGCTAATGATATGCTAAGGACACTCAACTGTTTGCTATGACATGCACTGAACACCAGGAGGCAGACAGTCGACCAGTAAGTTAGCTTGCTGCTGGAGTCTAGCCAATTGGGACTGAGCAAGATGGGCCAGACACACCTTGAGCCCTCCCATGGTCCCTTCCTGGCTGGCCACCTCCTGCATCCCTTCCCATCCCCAATTGTGCACCAGTGGGGTCTCTCAGCCTGCCTTGTGCCCTTTCACAATCTGGAACCCCTCCAAGGATGTCAGAGAACTAGTTTTGGCTTGACATGCAGGCCTGGCCGAGGAACCCCACTCTAGTATATTATAAAAAAGCCTGTCCAGTGCTCTGTGTGTTCTACACTGATATCTCATTTTATTAATGTTATTGAGGAAAACATAATATATTTACAGGATATATATACAAGTCAAAGACATTCAGTTAAACACCACTAAGGCTGTATAGTCCTGTGTGAATTATTAATACAGCAAAAATTAAATCTAGATTAAGAGATCATGACATCTAAAACACCTAATGTATGTGCAGCCACCAAATCCAATAGGATCACCTTCAATGTTCCAGGGAGCTTTCTGGATGTGCATGGGAAGAGGCACCAACAAGGAATTGAGAAGGACTTCTCTTATTCCCAGACTCCAGGCTCCTTGAGCCTACTCACCGTGGGCCTGCCACACAGTGGGTGTCTGCGGGGGGGCAGCCCCACACAACAGATCGCCTCCACCTCGGGAGGGGATGGGCACTGTGTGGGAGGGAAACCGACCTCTGGATGAGGTGCCTGACCTCTCCCTCCCATGACAGCTACTTCTGTCCAGGGACAGCTGCTGATCCAAACAAACTGTGAGGCCAAACCAGATCCTCTTGTTTCTATAAAGCCCACAAGCCTGCATTCCACAGGCTCATTAGGGGGCCATGAACTACTGCCAGGCCAGGCCGCACTTCCTCCTCCCGGTGGCCCCTGTGGTCCACGTTCCCATGCTCTGCGGGCCCAGATAATGTTGCCCCCAGTTCACATTCCATCCTGCTAGGGTGCTCTCAACAATAAATAATATTTACAGCAGAGGTCAGAGCTGGCAAACAGAAGGGGGGAGTGAGAGACCTCCACAGACAATAGAAACCGCTGGGTCTGAGAACTGTGAAACCATGTCTCATGGGATTCCAGAAATCTTTGTAAGGAGGTAACAACTTGCACTTTTCAAAACCTTCAAACTCCAATACCAAATAAAGGGAATAAAAGAGTAACAAAGGAAAATCACAACACAGTGTAGTTTTTGTGTCCTAAAAATGTTTCATTCAACAAATTCAGTGAATGGTGACTGGCCACCTACAATGTTCAAAGTCTCCTAATTAGTCTGTAAAAAAGGCTCAGTTAAAAAACCAGAAAGCACAAACATGGACTACCTCTGCCTCATGGCAAAAACTTGGGAAACCTAAATAAAAGGGGATGGAGGTCTCCTTATGCAAATATTCAAACTGAGCTGAAGGGACTGCCTTTTCGAGTCAGAGGTCAGCAGACCACACTCTACTGTCCAGACCCAGTCCTCTGTTTTGTGAGCTAAGTGTGCTTATATGTTTAAATGGTTGGGGAGGAGAATCAAAAGAATAATACTTTGTAATACATGGAAATGTATAAGAAATTAAAATTTTCAAGTCTATAACAAAAGTTTTATTGGAACACTGATGTCTATGCTACTTTTGCACTTAGAGAAGGGGATGTTGAATAATTGTAATAGGACTGTATGGCCTGCAAACTCAAGATATTAACTGTCTAGCCTTTTGAGAAAATGTTTGCCAATCTTTGTTTTAGGTTATCAAATACTTCTTTTGCTTTTGCTGAGATTTTCAAGAGAACATATACCTCATGTTGTGTTGGAAAGCTGTAGAAATGCACAGGAGAGGAAAGAGAAAGCAGCTAAGACCAGAAGAATCAGTCAGCATGAACTTGACAAAGATGGACCAGTACAAGCAGGTCACCAACTGAGGAAGCTAGTGCTACATTTACAGATCAAATGCCCAAAGCATGAGAAAAGTCAGAATCCTATGCCTCAATGCTCTGTTCTCTTGTACATATGGTTTGGTCTTTCTGCCTCTAGACCTAGACCTTGATTCCAAAGAATTGGCTATCCTAGGCTCCCCGTGGGAGTTGGATACAACAGAATCCCAGGAATAAGGTCTGTCTCTGAGCAGACAGTCCAATAGGTGGATGGCTACAACCACCTGCTCCATGAAGGCTCCAGAAATGATCCTGACAGACTGGGAGGCACTACAGCCACACTGGTGAGTGAGTGGTGCCTATGGAACAATGGTGGGATCTCTAATGTGATAAATGAAGGAAGAAAAGTAAAAGGGGGGGTGGGGTGTTATGTTGTAACACTTTCAGGAACACAACCCCCCTGTGGTGTAGCATCTGTCTCGTGAGGGTCAGGAACTAAAACTGAGAGAAAAATAAAGAAGTCAACTTCTGTATTAGAACTGCCAGGGTTATCTGCGGCCTTATTTACAACATAGTGGTAATTTGGGGCGTCACAGAGACACTCAGTCAACTGGCATACCTCCATTCCATGGCCATGCATGACAGGGTTCTCATCTCAACCTTTTAGTAGCCTCTCAGCTTTTTATTTAGTACAGAATATCCTCTCTATCATTGTATTTTGTATGTCTGATGTATGCGTTTCAAAAGACAAGTTGACAGCCCCATCCAAGTTGAGCATAGAGGCTTTTGCAATTGTCCAAGTTTTGTCTCATAAGGCTGTCTCCATCACAGAAGTTCTCCTGGCATAGACACAGCTGATCCTCACAGCCAATTGGCCTGGAGGTCAATTCCTTCCAGTGATACCAACAATAATCAAGACTTAACTGCAACAAGGCTGTACACACAGTCCACAAAGGGGTGCACCAAGAGTGTCCATCTCAGGGGAGGCTGAGCCACTGGGCCATATAGGACACCTAGCACACAAAACTACCCTATCAACTCAGGGAAGCAGCCAAAATGCGGAGACAAAAAAACAGAAAGAAATGGGGGAAAACAAGTGACTGGATATAAAGTTCAAAACCACAGTTATAAGGTTTTTCAAGAATTTCCTAGAAAAGGCCAATAAATTTAGCAAGACCTTCGAGGATATGAAAAAAGGACCAACTAGAAATAAAAAATACACTGGCTGAAATAATAAAAAAAAAAAAATTATACAGAGACCCAACAGCAGACTAGAGGAATGCAAAAATCAAGTCAAAGATTTGAAATACAAAGAAGCAAAAAACACTCAATCAGGAAAGCAAAAAGAAAAAAAGAATCTAAAAATTTGAAGATAGAGAAAGAAGCCCCTGGGACAACTTCAAGCAAACCGAAATCAGAAGAAGAGAGACAGCAAGATACTGAAAACCTATTTGAAGAAATAATGATTAAAAATTTTCCCAACCTGGTGAAAGAAATAGACTTACAAGCCCTGAAAGCACACAGAACCCCAAACAAAAGGAATCCAAAGACAACCACATCCAGACACATCATAATTAAAATGCCAAGAGCAAAAGACAAAGAAAGAATATTAAAAACAGCAAGAGAAAAACAGTTAATTACCTACAAGGGATCACCAATAAGATTGTCAGCTGATTTCTCAACAGAAACTATGCAGGCCAGAAAGAATGGCAAGAAATATTCAAAGTGATGAACCTACAACGAAGATTACTCTACCCGGCAAAGCTATCATTTAGAATTGAAGATCATATAAAGAGCTTCACAGAAAAGAAAAAGCTCAAGGAGTTCATCAACACCAAACCAGTATTATATGAAATGGCGAAAGGAATTCCTAAAGAAGATGATGAAGAAGAAAAAGGTAAAGATAAAAATTATGAACAACAAATATATATTTATCAACAAGTGAATCTAAAAATCAAGTGAATTAAAAATCTGATGAACAGAATAACCTGGTATACATAATAGAATCAGGGACATAGAAAGGAGTGGATTGACAATTCCCATGGGGAAAGGGGTGTGGTGGTTGCAGGAAAAAAATGGACAAAAATCATACACCTATGGATGAGAACAGTGGTGGTGGGTGGAGGGGGAGGTAAGGACAGAGGGTGGGATGGGAACTGGGTGGAGAGGAGCTATGGGGGAAAAAAAGAGGAACAATTGTAATAATCTGAACAATAAACATTTATTAAAATTAAAAAAAGACAAGTTGAGAGCTGGATCTCATCATAATTTTTTATTATTATAGTATTCTGCCTTTTGTGTTCTCCTACAAAAGGCAGAATACTTTCTTTAAAAAAAATTTTTTTAATCCTCACCTGAGTATATTTTTTCCATTGATTTTTTAGAGAGGGGGAAAGTCAGAAAGAAATATCAATGTGAGAGAAACACATCAATTAGTTGACTCCTGCATGAGCTCTGACCAGGACATGGGCTGGGGAGAAGCCTGCAATTGAAATATGTAGCCTTGACCAGAATCGAACCTGGGACCCTTCAGTCCGCAGGCCGACCCTCTATTCACGGAGCCAAACCGGCTAGAGCAGAATACATTCGTTTAATAGAGATGCAACAGAATACATTTTTAAGCAAAAAAACTTTTGTAAACTTACCTAGAAAAATCTCCCTTCGCCTCCTGTGGAAGAAAAAAATTCAACATCTGTGAAACATCCCAATTCTGTGTTAAACACTATAAAATGCATTCTATGGTCACGGTCACTCCTCTGCTGAATAAGTGCAACTTATGCTGCCATGGTCCCATCTGCTGCAGAAACATAATTAAGAAGGGGTGCATGCATTTGCCACTGAAATATAAGGACCGAAACTAAACTTCAGAAAGTTATATGCAAAGATCATGATTAATAATGACAAACTGCAAGTTTCCACCTCTGGGCCCTGCTCTTGTTTTTTCTACTTTAAAGAGTTTCAATCAGTGGGTATCTGGGCAGCACTGTCTGTGTCTCGGTGCTACACGTGGTTCTGCCTTGGAGTGTGGCTATGTTCTAAATGTACTAAAGACATGGAGGCTGGGAGGGACCGTGGGACCTTTATGAATCTAGAATGCCTTGAACAAAGTAGTTTTTCAATAAATCTTTGTTGAAGGGATAAGCTGATGACATAACTCCTATTCACCCTGCAGTGTTGCTAATATCACCAATGTTGCTCATATTTGGTGTAGCTCTTTTTTTGCATAAAGGAAAGGTCTTTTCCTTGTCTTTCTAGAGAGCTCGAGAAATGACTGTCCTGGCAACTAATTCTTGCTGTTTACTTGGCTTTCTCCAGAGTGGGGGAGAAGGCGAAGCTGAAGAAAATGGAGACACAGAATGATCTGCTTCCTCCAGGCTCAGGTTATACATGTGATTTTCTTTTGTACAGATGCTGTCTTAACATTTTGAAATACCAGAGCTCGTATTTACTTATTTAATTATTAGTGTCCCTAATAATTCTTTTTCCTCTGTGGCTAAGCTACTGGAGGCCCCGAGCTGTGGGATGGCAGCTGGCTGGGCACTAAGTCTTAAGCCTCTCCTGGGTGTGGTCAGGCAGGGAGGGCTACCTACCTGTAAAATGTAGGAGGCTAATTCAAACACCACCTCGCTGTCCACATCAATCAGCTCCTGCAAAGAAACAAATGACAAGGAAGGTGTGTTACTCAGACAGCAACTTCTCCCTAAAGAAGTTGCCCTCTCCCTAAAAGGAGCTTGTCCTGAGGGGCTCCCCAGAATCTCAAACACGCGGGAGCATCTTGCCTCTGAATTACTTTGCCCCAAGAACTCCTGACATCCTTTGTATGGCTCTTGGCAGAATGGACCCAGTGGTGCTGGGCCTGCACAGCCATCTCTAAGGTGTCATCTTTAAACCTTCAGGAGAAATTAAGGAGTGGGACAGTCCCCAGCTTGTTACAAATCTGTTCATCCGATTAGTCAATGGAGTAAGGCCGCTTGATAATGAACTGCGTTTTCTTTTTAAACTCTACTTCAGAACCAGCAGTAAGACTTAATTGAAGGAAACTTTATAATGGGATTGTGACTCTTTAAATTAAAATAAAAATTAAGACTCCAGTTCCTCGGTCACCACACTTATCTCCTGCACTCAGGGGTATGAGGCCGTTGTGGGCTGCACTGCAACCAGTTTATGGGTCAGCTCTTTCCAAAGGTCCAGTGTAAAAATGCTCTGGCCTACTTGTCCTTCCCCCAAATATTTAATCATGATCTACTGACATGGTCTTAAAAGGACATAAAACTTTTGGGGGAAAAAAGTAATATATATTTTTTCTTCTATGTAATAAATATTTTTCAATATGTATATAGTTCATATCTCCTTTCTAAACAGCTTTACCGAGGCATAATTGATACATACAACAAGCTGTGTGTGTTGAATATCTATAACTAGATAAATTTTGACAAATGCATACACCTGTCAAAGTAATAAGCATATCTATCACATCTACATTCAAAGGGACTCAATCCTTGAGTCCCTTTGAATGTCCTTGAGTCCCTTTGAATGTGTGTGTGTGTGTGTGTTTATTTTATTTATTTTTTTGTGTGTGTGAAGTATAAAGTACATGACACCTACCTTCTAAACAAATTAAAGCACACAACTCTGTATTATAATATATAGGGTGACCCCCCCGCCCCGCAAAAAAAAATGTATACACATACTGTGAATAACTATAAAGGCAGTGTTTATTAAAATACATTTTATTTTCAAAATTGAGCTATGAGCTGTTAAAGTGTGTATACATTTTAGGGGGACACCTTGTAGTTCAGATCTTAATGATGAAGGGAAACCTGGAGTCCATCAGCATGGAAGAATAATAGGAAAAGTAACCAACGTGGTGCTTCTGTTGTCAGATTACTGTTATCTTTCTAATAGCTCTAGATCCTGCAGTGACTGGAGCACAGAAAGTTAAGAGTGAGGACAGACTCAGACACAGCTAGCTCAGCCCCTGATTACGCTGAGAACAGAAGTTCAAAACTGTAAGGGACTTGCCCAAAGTCAGGAGGCCTTAATGGCAGTGATGGGGCTGGAGACAACCCCAAACTTCCTATCTAGTGTGCGACCTTCCTGAGGGTGTGCATCCCCCAAACCAACTAGGATACTGTCTTAGCCAACGTATTTTCAGAACCACATCTATCATTAGTGGTAGCTAAAAAAAAGAGTCACTTTCATTTGAATTATAAACTAAACTCTGATTCGTGGAGGTATCTAATTATTTTGTGTGTGTGGTCCAGAATGGGCCCTTGTGCAAAACAATGCACTAAAGCAAACCTGTATCTTTTGCAGGAAGGATACATGGTTCTGCCTCTTTCAGGCTTAGGAAGCTCAAAGATGAATAGCAATGTTTGCTACTGAATGCCTTAAAAGTGTGGGCTAAGGAAACTAACAAGACCAGATGGAAGAGAGGGAACAATAATTCTATACGCTGAAGGAGCTTTAAGGCTGCTGTCACTGACAGACTGTCAGTGCTGAGATGTGGAGAAATGCCTGGAATCGAATTTCTGGGATTACCAGGTACCATGAGAATGGAAATCATCTAACAGCATACAAATGATTTAACAGAAACACTGTCCAGGGTCTCCACAGTGGACGATTTCTACTCGATGTTCATTTCCATTCCCACCAACTAGCTTTCCAAAGTCACTCACGTATACCTGTTCATGTATTGTGATGTGTACTTTTCTGTCAAATATTTACACCTACACTACAGCCAGGGGCCAATGGTGGGCTAATATTTAACACCCAAGGTGAGGCTTAACTAACGTGTAACTCAAAACCAAGAACACAGCTTTAAGTTCATTATTTGACTCATTTACTAAATGAGAATGCTCCACTGTGGGGAGAAGCAGGGTGGGTAAGAGAGGTCTTTTTTATTTGATTTGATTTTACTCAGTCTATTGTGCAGTTCCCAGAGAGACTGCTGGATACTAATCTGTTGGTGAACATTAACTGTAATGTACTATTATTCAGAGTAAAGCTACTGAAAATGCACAATTAAATGTCTGACCTGATTTATCCAAGTCCTTTCTCATCATATTTGTCCTCAGGGTAAATGCGAACTAGTAAATCTAAGTGGGTGAGTTTTCACCTTCTCTGACCTTAACCATCTTCCAAAGAAGACAGGAAACACAGGGAATATCAGAACATGCCCAGGTAAAGGAAAAAGATTAACAAAGGGAGTGGCCCAAACATCCCACACATTTGCAAAACCTGATGGAAAAGAGAGCTGCATTATGACTTATCATTTCTACTTATCATTTCTACTTAATTTTGATTGCTTTCAAGAATCAGCTAGTGTATGCTCGGAGAAGTCAGGATAGAGATCTACATGATGTGTGTAAGAAGTGGTCTGGGAACGGTGGGAGGACATGTTCCTAATTGTGAAGAAAACACTTCTCTATCTTGCAGTCTCTGATGTCTACTGTAATAAAACTTTTCCCTTTTTATACCCAGCCCTGCCACTTGATTTTATCTTTAAAATTCCACTGTGATAGCACAGAGCTCTAGACCAAGCATGTCAAACTCAACCATAAATAAACCAGGCATGTGGCCTGCTGGCTACGAGTTTGACATGCTTGCTCTAGACTTTCTGCCCACATCACACATTTCCCATTGGATTTCAAAACCTGGAAGCTGACTTCCCCATGGAGAAGAGTGAATACAAGTTTCCAGAGATCCTCCTCTTAGATACTATATAACATGGAAGAGATGACTCTATCTTCTTCCCATCTGACTTCTCTGGGCAACCAGAGAAGGCTTCCTCCATGTGTTTCTGCTTAAGCAGAGAAAATAAACTGAATGAGAGCAGAAAGAGTGTGTGGAAAAACCCCCATACTTTCCTGGATGCTGGGTTTTTTCTTGACTGGGAACAAAATTAGAAAGAAGGAGGGAGACCAGGAGAAGACCCGTCAGGGGAGAGCTATAGGCATTTATCACCTGGCACCACCCAGCTCCCCAATGCTCTCCGAACCACCTGAGGATGGGTGTCAGCAGGGCTTGCTCAGCTGTAATCTTGCCTGGGAATTTATGGTGTTCTGGTGGCCATTTGACATTTAATCCTGCTCCTTACTGGTAAGAGGAGTAGTGTGGGTAGAAGGGAATGTGATGTCTGGTAGTTATTGAGGCCATTTGGTGTGCATTTGGGGGTGTCTGTTTCACGTACTACTGAATAATGTGTGCTGCTTTCTTTAATCTTTTGAAAGATGGCAGGGAAGGTCAAAGTGTGACTATCTGCAGGTGTGTGCATGTGTTCAGAGCAGGCTGGGGATGGCTTCCCTTCCTCCCAGTCAGCATGGCTTTATCCCAGGTGATTAGGCAATTGGAAGGAAGAGGCCTGAGGTCATTTGTCAGCAGCATAATGCCTAACAATTCTTAGAAAGATTTCCACCTTGGGGTCTCCAAGTGTTCCAAACAAATAGCCCCCTGAGAACCCTAAGTGGCAGGTGTTATGGAGTGTCTCCAAAAGTCCTGAAAGCTGAGGATCTCATCATCCTCCCCTGGCACCAAGGAATGTGGTGACAGTCTTTCCACGCAACCAAGAATCTTAATGAGAAGCATCCCTCCATGGTCAGGAAGGATAGAAATTTCAACTTTCACGTAAGATTAATGAGATAACTATAACAAAATAAGACTGACAACCACAAGGTAAGTCAAGAAGCTTCCAGTGAGGACGACCTTTGCAAAGGCCATTCAGAATGACTTATAGGGCTGGCCCAATGGTTTTCTGAATGAATCCTACCAACTGTAACTACCTTTCTTCCCACCCATAAAACATCTAAAGAGTATCGTTTCTTTCTGTCCTCCTTAAGATAATTTCTATGCTCTCCTGAACATTCCAGGTTCTAGTTCTAACCCCCACACAGATTTGGGACAGTGAATAAATCAATGGCCTTGAGTTTCACCTTCTTCCTCAGTCGAACGGGAATAATGATTTCTTTTTCAATTATTTTACTGAGTTTGATGAGGCATAACTGTATATGTGAGTTGGAAACTCTAAGACCCACTGCAAGTATCATGTCTGTATAATTTATTTTCAGTCACTGGTGTTTATAGATAATCTGAACTCCACAGTTTTGCCTCTGCTCTCCAGAACTTTTGGTATACATAGAAATTTTCAGTGAGTTAGGTATTTTTTACAGAGGTGGGCAGTATTGTGTGTGTGTGTGTGTGTGTGTGTGTGTATCATCCAAGTGGGTTCTGATGCCTACATTTTGCCTTTTTGCGGCTGTGTAACTGCCCCGCCTTCTTGCACAACTCATAATGACTACAAGAACTCGCCCCAGGCAAACAGGAGCTGTGATGCATGATAAGACTGATGTGGTCTTGCACAATTCCTCTTTCTAAGCCCTTTGCCAGTTTTTCATCAGTCAAGTCACTTCATGTTTGTCTAATAATCCACTGGGGTACATGCCATTCATACTGGGCCCCCAATCTCATTTTGTGGCTCAAGGATGGCTTCTGCTGTCCAGTGCACACAGACCATTTCATGACCCTGAGGAACCTTTTAGAGGTCATGGGCAGCCAAAATAATGAGTCCACATGAGTTTGTTTCTACAGTTGAAAATGAAGGGCCTTCTCTTCCTCTCTCTCTGATATGAGCACACACTATTCCTGCAAT